TGCAAAAAAATATTGTTGACGATGATTGTTATCTCGGTCGGTCAACGAGAACAGACTAACAGAACTAAGATTGTTTGGCTATTTGTGATTAATTCTTCGATTAATATGGTGTTTTTCACATCTGCATTCGACATTCTATCGGTTATCGTCGTCGACAGTTTGTCGAGGATGAACATAAAACACATCTCTCTCTTGTTTTCATCAACGTCCAATTCTGAACGGATGCGAAAATTTCAGATACATTTAGTATGAATAGTGTAGAGTGATTCATTAAGTAATCACATGCTACTTATCAGTCGATACTTCTGTATCGTTTGATGCATTCATAGTCTGAAACATTACTACCGATTGAATGCATCAATATATTACTAATAGAGCACTACAGTATTCTAACCGTACGTAAGGCATTCAAACGGTGTGTACGATGTTTCTTAGACACGTTTCACTCGGTCGGCTTTCTAATCTGCCCTCTGGGCAGTTGATTCTCTAGTGTTTCTCTCTTTCTGCTGAATAAAAATTCAGTCAATGTCTATATGCTCGATTAGGTGTATGCATTCTGTTTTCGATCTGACATATATATAAAGCAAAAATCCCGATCTCGTTCAGCAGCGTAAATTCCGATCCCGATCTCGTTCAGCAGCGTAAATTCCGATCCCGATCTTTTCTTTAATCGTCGAAGTCGAACAAGTGGAGAAACCATCATCGAGAATATCCATTGTTTCGGATTGACGATGGACGATGAGAGATTTCTTTATGTCTGCGACTATCAAAAGGATGAAGTGAGACGATATCGAGTGAGAGAGACGAATGGAACAGCGGTGGCGGGTGGCAATGAAAAGAGTGATCTTCTCAATCAACTCAACTATCCACGCTGCATCTTTGTCGATCGAGATCATTCTGTCTACGTGTCGGACAACGACAATCATCGTGTGATGAAGTGGGTCAAGGGTGCGAAAGAAGGAATTGTCGTGGCTGGTGGTCGAGGCGAAGGGAATGCTCTGACCCAATTGTCGGATCCTCAAGGAGGGTTCGTCGATTCGTTGGGCACAGACTATGTGGCAGACTGTGGGGATGATCGAGTGGTGCGTTGGTGCAACGGAGCGACACAGGGAAATGTCATTGTTGGTGAAAACGGTTAAGAACAACAAGCAAACAAGTTGAACAGTCCCGTGGTTGTTGTTTATTGATGTTGTTTATTCGTGAGAATTTCGAACGATCGTTGGTGTTTGTTTCTGACTCAAATTATGAAGCGAATTAAAGACTTGTGACGCTAAGCGCTAAAGAGTTGACTCGATCGTGGAGTAGATCCTAACATTTAGGATCCTGCCAGGATTTTGTTTCTTAATGAATAAAGGTAGTTAAAATCTACTTGAAGTAATAAATGTATACGCGCCATTTTTAAATGTGCTTTAGAGTTACAAAGAAATATTTGGAATATCATGGTAACTTTTGGTCAAATAATATGAATGGATGGAGAAATTTCACGAGAGATAGGAACATATAAGCAATCCTATGAAATTCCTGTTCAAGAATTATCTTTTCCTGCTAAAATCCTAAACAACTCCTGCTACATTATGATTCAGTCATCGCAGTCTTGTTAGGATCCTAACAGAATCCTAACAAATCCTGCGACTTTCCAGTATACATGATTTCTGTAGGACTCTGTAAGATTTTCCTAGGATTCTACCAAAAGGTCAGCTAAAAAAATCCTGGCCGAATTGCTCAAGGATCCTGTCAAGAAATGTATAGGTTTCTTACTAGGGTAGTTCATTCTTTCATTCTTCTTGCTAAAAATATCCTGTTCGAGACCAAATCTGTTAGTTGATTATTATCAGTGCGGAAATCCATATAATTTATTAATGAACAATTTTAGAAATTGAACACATATGTTATTTTCATGTTCATTTATTTGTTTTCTATTGTGGTATAATTCTAAAATTGTTTGTACTTGTTCAAACTGACCTTCAAAGTAACGAGACAATATTTCTATTAGAACGTCACTAAATATATTTACACTTGTATGCGGTGGACTTCTATTCCCATTTGTTTGTAAACGTTGTTAATGTAGATTGTAATTAATTCTTAATGTTTCATCGCCTAAAAGACAAGAAAGCTCATTCTCAGAATTATGGACAGAGAGAGAATAGATGATACCGTTTAGATTAAATAAGATTGCAATTATGTCGATACAATTGTACCAGTTCGCCCATGACCCTCCATAGAAGCATACCAAATTGAGTATAGACTGTAGAATCTACTGTTGAGACACATCTACCAACAACGTATTAGAATTGGTTCCTTGTTTTTTAACTTTTGACGAAGACCAGGACAAAAATTTAAAACATTTTCGTTTTCTTCAGATATTGAGTGATCGGCAATTAGAAATGATAATCAACTAAAACCATTCTGTGAGAACTACTAGATGGTGTCTACTACGAATTTACGCAACCGCGACTCCGGGCCATGTTTCCGTTCTTTTACAATAGATGACGCTGTGAGAGCCCAAATCATCGATCTGTACATGTTGGAAAACGATTAGCTTCCGGAAAACCGGGAGAATTTCATCAACTACAACCAATCAATAGCTGCATTAGCCCGATTTTCACACCTACACCACAATGATCAAGAAAAGTACGTTCACAGATTCTATTAGCACAGTCCAAATAACAAAAACATATTCTTCTATTTAATTTCAGAAACTGGCTCTTATCGCCTGTCTTAGTGTTTATTTTTGCATCACGATCATTGGTATTTTGGCTGGAGTTATATTATCAATTACAAAATGACAATTTTTAGTTCATGGGCTTCTTTATCACTCTCGTCATCCTGTGATGTTAATAAAAAAACGATTGATATAGCCGATGATCAAAATTAGTCGCACCTTTAAATTTTGCTGTGTTTCATTTTTACAATAAAAACGTGAAAAAGAAAGAACTCTGCGCAAAAACGTCTTTGCGCGTGAGTGTCGCGCGCTTTGGTATTGTGCGCAGAAATGACGTGCGACGAAAAGTCGGTGAATCGATACCGTCAATCGTAATGAGTAGTTGGTGAACTGGACACGAAGAAGGAAAAGCCAAAGTGAAAATTTATTGTAATCAAAAGAACGTGAAAAAGCACCTGAAAAGTAGTAAATCATATAAGATCTCTTAGGATAAAAGCAGAAAATCACTGCTCATCCGACGAGGTGGCCGAGCGGTTAAGGCGATGGACTGCTAATCCATTTCCCTCTGGGAGCGTGAGTTCGAATCTCATCCTCGTCGTCTGTTTCTTTTTCTTCTTTATTCCTCTGTTAAGTTCTTTACTGAGATTTGTATAATCAGTTAGAGAAAAAAAACAAAGAACAAAACCAAACATGATCTAAACTTATGCCGTTCGTATCAGATATAGTTCTTCAGAAAAATCTTCTATGTCGATCTTATTCTCGTCCTTTCTAGTTGTGTCACCACCTTGCAGGTTTGTCGGTTTTACCTACTTTTCAGTACATTAAGACTATGGTACTGCTCTTTTTTTTATATTAAAAATCAATTTAGTATATATGCAGCTAAACAAAATTCGAGAATTATCTGTAGGGTAAAATCTAACAGTTATGCACAAACTGCGTCCTCTTCGGCGCACAAAGCCCACCCTATAGAAATAGGTTCTTTTGAGGTTTTCTTTTCCTAGTATGTGCTTATTGTCTCATTTTATTACTGCTAAAACAACTGCTGAACTCTTTCTGTTTCGCTTAAAAAATACATAACATTTTTATCTTAGCTATTGCTTTCTCCTTTCGGTTGTCGCGCCTCGCTGGAATTCAAAAAGAACTTTTTCACTATGGAATGGTCTCCACGTGCTAAAGAACGCAAATAGTCCAAGCTGCTAAGGTACTTTTGAGTAACGTACGAGCAAATGTCTTACGAAGAGAAGTGCTTGTAAAAGGGGGGCAGTATGCATGCATTCAAGGCAACAAAAGAATAAGGAAAAATTATTCAGGTGTGTCGGAACGTACATACGTTTATTATTCAGACTATAGATTTTTGTTTTCTATGCAAGTATCAGGTGTGAGTAGACTATAGTAATACAGAAAAAACAGTCTTCATTTGCTGTTGATATACCGAGAGAAATAAAACTATTATTTTGACTAAAATTCATAAGTCACAATTATTGAATTGATATCAGAAAAAGAATTATAGTATTTTAGGCTTTTATGTTGAACGCGCAGATATTTAACTTTAATGTACAGTGTGAAAAACTCAAAAGATGGAAGAAAGAGTAACAAAATATCTCACGTAAAACAAATTTTGTAATGTCATTTGTTAGATAATTATAAAATATTTTGTAATAGGCTATCTCAGAGATCTTTTAGAAAAACTCAGCTATGTCTCAAAAATTTCCAATAAGATTAGATATATATATTTTTTTTATGGATTGATAGTTCATTCACTCAGAAAACAGCCAAGCAGCTTCTAAACTTCGGTATGTACAGTATTTAGACTATTTTATATTGTATTTAAAAGAAATCTACAAGAAAGAATTTAGCTAACGCATGGTTTTCGAGAGGCTTTGTAGAATGCCTGCAGACAAGAATATGGTTTTCAATTTGGTCGATCTTATAGTTACGTCTAGCGGATGAAATTAACCATATCCTGAAGCTTAAAAGTCGTTCTGCTGGATTTTAAGTGAATAACTGTTAATGCATTAAAACAAAATCAATAGAATCCTGTTGGATAGAGACGCAGCTGGGTTTTTCAAAGATCTCTGTTAATATCTTATTTGAAAAAAACATTCTAGAGAAATATGTATTTACTCACTATTATTGAACACCAATCCCCCAGCCGTATGTATGTAATCAGCGGAGTAATCTGTCGCCTCTAGGTCAGTCTAAGAAAACTGAATTCAGACGGTTTAACTTCCTCTTCTGAGAAAAAAAAATACTTCGCCTTGCGGCTACTGTTGCTTGTGTTGGGTGCTGAAGTCGAGGGGTCAGTTAAACCACCCTATTTCTGTTTTAGAGCACTTTCATGTCGCCTATAGGCTTTTGTATCATAATATTTGGTTTAATAACCTCTACGGACTCGATCAACCGGCTGTACAAAGATGAGCAAGTACGTGACTTGCTCATTTCAATTCTTGTGCTGGATAAACAGTTAAGTACACCTGCGACAACGTTATCACCGAAAACAACAATATTGTCAGAAACAACATCATCATCCACAACAACAACAACATCATCATTAGCAAAAACATCATCATTGACAACCGCAACAGCGTCATCGACAACAACAACATCATCCTTGGCAAAAACAACAGCGTCGGCAGCAACAACAGCGCCAGTTAAAAGACGCTGGTATGCAGAAAAACACGATGCAGAAAAACGATTGTATGAATTTCTACTCGATTTGCTCGACAGTGATTCACCTTACGAAAGATCATATTCAAATCCAGATAAAAGGGGACGTCAGAAGGGTTATTCCGAAAGCGACTTTGATTATTTATTTGAATAAATGAAGAAGGTTGCAATGCGTTACCGAAATTACGAATGTAGTGGACATTAGAATTTTATGTTTGCAAATCATTTTTTTATGAACGGTTATCATTCTCTTCTCATATGTTATGCCCTTAAAGAAAAACAAATATTTTCAGAAAAAAATCACTTTTTGCAATAAGTTAGTCTCAAAGATTCATACACAGTTCGATGGATAGTTCTTCGATCCAAAACTTAAGGTGTTATACATTGTTCAATGCAGCTACTCACACTGATTCTCAGTATACAATTAATTTTCGTTAGAGAGCCTCCTCGGGTCAGAAAACTAGATTTTATCTAAAAATTCAAAGGTTTTGGGAAAATCCATACTGAAATCCATGAAAGACGGCACTATTCAGCACTAATATCGCATATATTATTATGATAATCCTCAACACCCAAGCAAAAACGACCCAATTTTTTGGGTTATTTATCTACATTCAGCTCCACGTACATCTAGATGCACGTGGACCTGAATCTAGCTAAATAACCCAAAAAATTGGGTCGTTTTTGCTTGGGCAGTTCAAACGTTTACATTAGTAGTGGCTAAATATGAACATACTATCCATTTCAAGGGAACCGGAAAGTTCGGCACGGGGATTATTCAGCACGGAATATTCAGCATGGAAACTTCAGCACGGGGAATTTGAGCACAGGAATAATCAGCACGATGATTGTTCAGAACAGGAATGATGAGCACTAAGAAAAATATTGGATGAGTAGTAATCATCTATTAATCAAACTAAAATTTGATCATAAAAACTAATCATCAATGTAAACTACATCAGATTAGTAGTCTTCAATGAGTAGTAATAAATTTATTACTCTCTACTATAAATAATGACTGAACACGTTTGCTCTCTAACATTATCAATTCTTCAATATGGCGGCAATTTTTAATAACGGTACAACAAAGCAAAAACCACATCTAGATCTCAACGGTTATTCATATATTATGGATCGATTAACGTTGTAACTGATCGATTGGCGTTGTATAAATTATTCATTACATCATTGCAATTCTCGTCTTCACACATGTGTTATCACAAATAATATTATAAAATATTAAAAAATCAACGTTTCGAAAAACGCTTATTAAATCTTACCTCCACACCTCATCCAAACATCCTAACTCAGATTGACTCAATAGCACATAATATTTCACTGTAAATTAATTTTATTGAATATTATTTTTAATAACACATGTGTGAAGACGAGAATGTATTGTAAATTTTGTAAGATTGTGAAATCTTAGTTTTTGTTTACCTGCATGACTCATCCAATATTTTCGCTGATTTTTCTTGGTGCTCATTATTTCTGTTCTGAATAATCATCGTGCTGATGAAACTGTGCTCAAATTTCCCGTGCTGAAGTTTCCGTGCTGAAAATTCCTCGTACTGAACTTTCATCAATCCCAATTTCAATGAACAGTGCACTCGGTTGTAAGTTGAATAACTCCAGAACGAAAGCAGCTGGAGACTTGCGGTTTTCAGCATTCGAAAAAGAGTCATATTTTTTATATGGAAATGTCAAATCTGATTGGTCAAAACTGACCAATCAGGAGAATTATTGATGAACATTTTAAAAACAATATTCCGAAGGGATTTATCATTGGGTTTAGGATTTTGACATGGCCATTCCACAGAGAAAATTGTTTTATTTCGATCTGCGTAAGACCGAGCCCGCTAGCGTGTTTCGTTCAGGAGTTATAAGCATTTTCCCGAGAGCCTCAAACGGCGTTTTCAGTGATTTTCGAGATTTTTCGACCCTTCATCGACGTCAAATCGCCGAACAAAGTGTATATTCGGAATCAGCATGCAAAACTGCGTCGAGTGACATGTCTTTAATGTTCATTTGATGACTTTCATTTTTCCACCATTTACATGCCATGATCCACAGAGCTGATAGTTTAGTAATAGTTTAGTGACAAAAATGAAAAAAATTGAAAGTCATCAAATGAAGATTAAAGACGTGTCACTCGACGCAGGTTTGCATGCTGATTCCGAATATACACTTTGTTCGGCGATCTAACGTCACAAATACATTCCAGCGGATGGGAAACGGTTTCTACTAGAAAACGGCCCAATATGCTTTTGAGTGAAAATGATCAGAAATATTTTCCTTTTCGCTGCCTAACATTTGTTATTTGTTTCTCAAATTTTTCGTACGACTTCAAAGACTTTGACCAAAGCCCATACACAGAAAGTTAGGGAAGTTTCCACACTGCAAAATGAACTATTGGCAGGCTTCTCAAACATATGCCTACATAGAACAATTGTCAAACTAGACAAATATCATGATTTGTACCTATTCTAACACTTTAAAGGAATACTTCTTTGACGCTTCTACTCAGACCCGGAACGTTTGTATATAGAAAGGTAGAGAATTTTCTACGCTTCACAATGAACTATAAATAAACTTTTCATAAATATGCCCATATTGGACAATTGTCGAAATACTCGGCAGATATCATGATATTCACCTATCTTAAGACTTTAAAAATATATTTCTTCCATACATCAGCTCAGACCCGGAACGTTTTATATATCGAAAGATAGAGAATTTTCTGGGCATCAAAATCAACTATAATATTTTGTTTTAAAAGTTTGCCCTTATAGATTTATTGACTAAATACTAGATAGATGTCTCGATTTTTATCCATACGGCTTGGCCAAATGTTACCGAATTTTATTTTATCGTCTTCTGTCTCCCTTATCTCGGCAAAGAAGCAACGTTTATTAATGAAATTTATAGCAATGATGGATATTAGGGAATTCTACTACCAAAAATAATTTGAGCTTCATTGAACAAGTGGATCAAAAGTAATAGTCAAAACAGAGGCCGTTATGAAATTTCCAGAAATGGAAGTGTTTTTCGGCGTATTTCAGTAAAATGCAAATTATTCAGTCTTAAATTAAGTTTGAAATGATTGCCTAACCCTTTGGTGCCGGGACACGCATATATGCGTGTTGAAGTTTCTTATCATTGCTTCTATATAACAATAAAATTTGTTTCAGACATTTTTTGAAGTTAGTTTAGTTCCCTTTAGTTAGTTCCCTGGCAGAGAAAATCGAATAAAAGTGACCGTTATGAAATTTCATTTCGTTACCATTTTTGCTCTTCTTTGCAGATGGTTTGGTACAGGGATCCCAGATCTAAAAGATCGAAATGAGAAAAAAAAAGTTCAAAATCAGACAAAAATCAGAAAAACAAGTTGGAAGTCAGAAAAAAAATCAGAACGTTGTTTGTTCTCATATCCAAATGGTATTTTTTTACTGATAACCATTCTTTACGAAAAACACCTTTTATCTTTCGATGAGTGATTGGATTTTGTTTCTGTGTTACTACTACATGCTTTCCCTCTTCAATGGAATTCTGTTCATTATCACTATTAGCTGTCTTATTTAATTTTAAATTGACGTCATTCTCTACGTAGTTCGACGATTCACTCATCAATTTTATTATAGCTTAAATATACAGTTCATTATATACAAAACTATTCTTCTTGAAGATCGTACCACACATTTGTTCAACGATTCTAAGGAAAAATGGAATTTTGTCTACTATCTGAAGATGGTGTCGTATCGACTAAAAAGAAATAAGCTTCCCATTTCGTGGAACAAGAATTTCAACTCCAATAAGTAGGTTCGAACTGCGAGACACTGCGCTACAAATATATACAAGTCTCCAGTCTCAACATATCATCGTTCAGGCACTACACAGGACTTCCTGAGACATGTCCATTTTCTCTTTTTTGAAGTTTGGCAACCTTAAAAGTGAATGGAAGGCTTCCATCCAACTTTCATCCAGCTTTCCATCCACTGGTGCTTCCAATGGAAGCACAAGTTTTCGACCACGCCAAAGAGGCTATATTTATCTTGGAAAAAATTCAAAAACCTAGTGAAAATTGATTTTATGTCAGAAAGTATTTAATTTCGACTGCTATGCGTGTAATTTAACATGGAAACAGAAAAGGTTTTAAGGAAATGGTTTTTCAAACAGATTTCCA